CAAGCTTTAAGACCCCAGACGCTATATCTTTTGATAGCCGGGCACCATCAGCTTTCTTCACCACATTTGCTTATTCACCTGCTTTGTCTTCAACATTTCTTACATTCTCTTTCAACCCATCCATTGCAATCCCCTGACTAGAACTATTGCTTATTCCACTTTCTGCTGCCTCTTTCTTTCCTCCTCCTTTTGTTCTAGGGTACATTTGACCCTCTTGGACTTAAGTAGCTGATTGTTTTAGTACATCAGTGGGTTTATTTCCAGACCTGAAGGGCTAGGACTTTATTCTGGGATGGCCTCACTGGTCCATCGACCCGTGAGCCTGGTCTCTTTATGATTGCAGTTCTGCCCCACACTTTTTCTCCCTCTCTGTCTAGGATCTCCCAATGTAACCCTTTCGGAACAGTTGGGAGTGGGAACCGGGCACCATCTAGCTCTTCTAGTCTCGGGCAATGGACATTGTTTCCAAGTGTCCTGATTTCCTGTCTTTAACCAGTAGCTGCACCTTAGCAGTTCACCAGCGTGTACGTCATAGAAAACATCCTCCTTCTGAGCTGTGCTGCTGCCATTGCGTGTCCAACTTCTTAAGGCAGCGCCATGCTGTTTTCACAGTGGTTGCACCCTCTGACAGTGTGGGAGACACCATTTCCCACCACTAGCAGTCTGAAGTTTCTCCAAGGCCTAGCCAGCATGTGTTGTTTTTTGTTCATTTTGAACTTTACTATTTATGTTGGGGTGAGATAATATCTTATTGCTGTTCCGGTTTGTATTTTTTTGTGTGTTTGTTGATTCTCTGAATGTCTTTTGGTAAATTGTTCATGTACTCTGTGCACTTTGAAATTTGATTATTTGTCTTTCTTTGTTAAGCTTTCTATAGGTGTTAGACGTTAGTCCCTTATCCAATATGCCACTGCCAAAATTTATTTTCCTATCTGTGGGTTCTCTTTTTACTATTTTCGTGAAATATTTTGATGAACACACATTTCTGATTTTTCGGAAATCCCAGTCATCTGTTCTGTCTTCTACTGTGTGTTTATTTTTCATTATGTTTGATAGTATTTTTAAGCCACGTATTAGGGTTCCTAAGTTTTCTCT